GGGCGGATGCCCCCGCCTGACTGGGCAGGAAGTAAACAGAGCAACCAACCGACTCCAGCTGGCACATCCCGAGCAGATCCAGTTGGCACACCCAATACGCCGACACCACACACCACTGGCCCCAGCTTGGGACCTTCGATAAGGGGACAAGTCTACAAACCCAAACAGCAGCATCAAGGGGCTTCCCTCCCTCCGCTTCCCCTTAGAACGAACGCATCTACTCGTGACAGCTCAGAACAGGGGCAACAATCCCAGCACACTCACTGCGACGTGGTACCAACCCAGCAACAGGTGCTCAACCGGGAACAGGAGAAGGACTGCGTTACACGGCCTACATTGGGGCCCAAGCGGGACAGACGTCCCTCAGATCAGGCCCTGAGTCGACAGAGGCCCTTGGGGCCACAGCGACCGCCCAATGCGGGAGAAACCAAAAGCATGAGTCATGAGACGCAAGTGACCCCACATCAACAGGCTCCTCACCCAGCACCCCTGGCACCCCCACCCACACATAAAACAGGGGGACGAGGTGGGAAGGGACCCTGCCACACGAAAGCCCTACAGCAAGCGGAGGAAATTGGACGGAGAGCCACCCTAGGGGGAGCTGGGCATGAGGTGCGGATGGACCGACCCCGGCCGTCAGAGTCACTGCAAGAAACAGGCACCACAAAACAGACAGTGTCACACCTTCCTCACGCGGAAGCGACAACGAGCTGTGCCCTGTCGACAGAGCCTGTCTCGGAACCAGCAAAGCTCGAAGAGCCCACCGCCGAGAACTTGGCCGGGCAGACGCATCAGCAAATGCAACGCACAGACACCCAAGGACGGACCGGGAAACAATTGACAACGACCCCGGAAGCCGCAGCAAGCAAATCTCCGTCTGAACCAGCTGCCCCAAACTCTGAAAGGCGGGAAGAAACCATGAAGGATGACTGGGGAACAAAGTTGCTCCCAGGAGAACTCAAGGCCACTGAGCTGGGTACTTTTTTGCACCTCAAGCAACAAACCTGTCTCACGCCAAAATTACTGATACAGGAAACAAAAGCAGAACCCCGGAAGGTCTTCGCAGACAGGGAATCTCCCCAGACGACCAACGCCTGCCTGAAGCAGGAGAAGTCAATGGGGAGGCCGGGGGTGCCCGCCATTCAATCTCAGGTGAAGCAGGCGGCTGGGCAACCATTAAACCATGGCCTGATAAAAACAACTACAGAGACACCGTCGCTGGGGCCGAATGCTCAAACACAAGCAACTGAAAACATGGCGAAGGTCGTCTCGGAAGTTACAGGAGAGATTAAGTTTAGGCCCCTACAGCCCCCCAAACGACTAGGGAATGGCTATGAGGATCGGATACATCGCCTGCACGAGGAGGCGGAAGCGGCTCAGGGGCGCGAGCTATCCCCCCCCGGCAGAATGCACATCACCAAAGCGACTGAGGAAGGGACTTCCAAAAGTCTGAAAGCACAGCAAATATGGTTGAAGGCAAACTCCCTTCTGAATAAAATAAAAGACACCGCTTTGTCCCAGCACTGGGACCTGCCGCGGACTAAACAGCCCCTGACTGCCTCATTACCGTTGTCCCCCTCTCAGGTTCCGGTTAAAGGGATGGTCCTCCCTCATGATGGCCCCCCAGGGTGGAGAGGACCCTGGACCTCAGCATCTACAGCTGCAGGAAGCAAGGCTGTGCGAACAGAGGGAGGAAGGATCACACCTTCCACCACCAGTGAGCACAGACCTGCCAATATCTTTGCACCGGCGATTGTCCCACTCCCACTCTCAGGACCTGGATGGAGGGACGGTCTCCCCTCAGGATGACCCCCCCGCCGGAGAAGACTGCAGATCTCAACGACTGCTGCTGCAGGAAGTATGGCCGAACGGGCAGAGAGAGGAAGGCTCACACCGACCACTGCCCGTGAGCACAGAACACCAGGCGCAAATTCACGAGGAACTGCCAATACCTTTGCAAGGAACGGCCCCCCCTCATGATGGCCCGCCTGGCAGAGTGGACAACAGTTCCCAACAACTGCAGCTACAGAAAGCGAGGCTGAAAGGACAGAGGGAAGAAGGCATACACCCACCAATGTCCGCGACCACAGAACTCCACCCGCAAACTCACGGAGAGCGGCCGATACCCTTGCACCAGCAACAGCAGCAGCAAATGGTGGTGGAGCAGTATGACCTCACGACAATACACACCGACCTGCATCAACAAGCGCAGCCTGTCCAACTGGAACAACAGCCAGATCAGCACCAGCAGCAAACGCAGTTGCAAGACCAACTGCAGCCACAGCAGCAGCACCTACATCATGCCCAGCAGCACAACAACAACACTCACCAACAACAGTGGGAAATAGCACAAATAGCACAAGGACAACAACAGCTGCAGCAACAGCAAATGGTAATGGAGCAGTACGACCACACAATAATGCACACCGCCCCTTCACAGCAAGCACAGCCAATTCAACCGGTGCAACAGCCATATCAACTCCAGCAGCAACTCCAGTTACAACACCAAATGCAGTCACAGCAGCAACTCCAACACTACGCCTCGCCGTGCAACAGTAACATTCACCAACACCAAACACAGCACATCCAAGCAGCGCAACATCTCCACCAGCACCAGGACCATCTGCACCACCAACGACAGCAACAACAACAGCAAGAACTTCACATACATCATCAGACGCAACTGCAGATGCTAAACCAGACGGAAAACCAGATGCTCGCCCAACATCACCAACACCAACAGATCATGCAGCAGAAGGAGTGTGATCAGCAGTTCCGCCTCCTGCTACAAGCTCAGATGGAGCAGAATCTGCATCAGCAACAACATGACAGAATGGCACTCCAACAACGAATCCTCCAGCACTTGCACCTGCAATGGCAGCAGCAGCTATGCCGCCAGCAGTAACAACAGCAGCTACAGTGGCTCTGGCAGCAGCAAGGGGACAACCAAAATGGGCACCTCCAGCATGAACACTGCGAGCCTCTTCTGCCCCCTTCTGCACTCCCGAACTGGTACGAACAGGCGCAAAGACCCCAGGCCAGGGGGCGGCCCCCCGGATGACCATCAAACTCCCCCGAAGGATATGGACGTAGACGTGGTTCCGCCATTGGCCCCGCCTCCGGTCGAGGGGGCCCCCCCACCCCTCTTGGCCAATGAGGAGGTCCAACAAAGCTGGCCTTTTTAACCGAATGGACCCTCACTAAAATCTTCTCGTTAACAGAGGAGAGAGCGCGAGAAAGACTTCGCAACAAACACTGGGGTGAAGCCAAGAGGGTGCTTATGTATACCCTCGGGTACTGGCCACGGTTGAAAAGTACTAAACGATCTCCTCCATCGACTGGATGGATGTGGGGGCTGCAATCGTTCTGGTGGTGAATGAGTTCTTAGACAAGATAGATAGCTACGCCAACCAGCGTTTCGGGGGGGAATCCGCCCACAATGAGCAGTGCTACGATGAAATGCGTGAAGAAGCATTCGTCCACGAGGGGCTGGCCTGGCCCAAGATACTGGTGCATGAGCTGTGTGCCACACTGCACTCCATACCGCAGGCAGCCCCTCCACTGCCGGCGGACGGATGTTGTCCTGTAGCTATAGAACACCATCCCTCGCCCAATAGCGCAGGTGGACAACCACAGTTACAACAACACTTGGAAAAGGATTAACACCGTAACATGGTTCAACCACCCACACATTTGTCACTCTCCCCCACAGAGACATCTGCCATCTCTGACCTCTTACGACATCTGCTGATCCCAAATGAAGACCGCAACCAACAAAGTTAACACAACAGAACTGGCTGGTTGTTCACCGTCTTGGGGGGACACAAATTGTGCATGACGATGACGACGATGACATTACACAAACGGGATCAGAGGATGACGAAGTTCTAGAGGACCCCCCTACGAAGCTCAGGGAACTGGTGAAGCTTGAAGTGGACAGCAGTGACCCAGTCACAGTACCCCTGGGGGTGGTCATCTTTCCAATAATGCGGGAGGTAGAGGGAGGACACTCAATGCTTGGACTCGGACCTACGGCGCGGACACTTCCGCAATCTGTGCCCCAAGGTGAGCTGCCCTCTCAGGGTGGGCTCACGGTGGAAGGGTGGCGGGGCAACCCCTCCACTGCTGTCATTCTAAAGCGTTTGAAGTACTGGGCCCGTGAGACTGGGATTGAGGGAGTTTTGGGACCAGTACTGCCAAACTCCCTCTCCTTCCCCAAAGGCATTATCCCGGTTTTGCTGTTATGTGACCCGGAAATCAGAAAACGAAAAACAGGAATGCAATTCACCTGGCTCACTCACCAGCAGCTTCTTGATCTCCCCACAGATAGATTTGAGACCAATACTACATGGATCCAAATTAAGGTCCTCCTCTTCATGAGGATCTTCCTGGAGGACACCATCCTAGAACAACACAATTCCTGGGAGGATCCACCCTTTGTGCTCACTGTCAAGATCAAAGCTTGAGTAAAAGAGGAGATAGAAAAGACATTAAGACACGAGGTCATGATCCCATCAATCAGATCGCAGTGCAACACAGGCCACCAACTATCCATGGATGCTGAAGACAAACATTCACCACCCTCGCACTCCGCGCACAACAGCCAACACCTTCCCCCTCATACACCTGCACCAACCCCTCCACCGGCCCCCCCCCTTCCCCTACCCGCCCATGCACAATCCTCCGATTCCCCCCCCCGCCCCTCTTCACCTCCTGTCTTCCCAAGGATAAAACGACCGCCCCTCTGGGCAACAAAATTGGCCCAGGCTAACATAGATATACGGTCACTTAACGTTAATGGGCTCGTTCAGGCCTCAACTGACAAGAAGGATGCCATTTGGAATATGATTAAATGCCTGATCTCTGGTGGATTACCAGATGTGGTTTGCGTTCAAGAGACCCATTTACAGGATATCCCACAACACATTGCAAAGGCGAAGTCGATCTGGCCCTATGCGACCTTCTCAGCACCGGCAAGGGTCAGGGCATCAAGGGGGGTCGCAATCTGGTTGCCGCCCTCCTCAAAGCTCAGCCCCTGCACATGGAATACGATGGTCAGCAAGGGAGATGGGTCTGTCTGAAAGTTGCCTACGAACAGGAAGAATTCTATTTAGTCAGCCTATTTGTTCCGAACGACCCCACTAGTAGGGTGGACTTATGGCTCTCCCTTCAAGAACACCTGCCGGATGATGCCCCGATTATCCTAGCTGGAAACTTCAATACCACACTTGACCTTGCAATGGACCGTAGGTCTACTCCACAACGGTCGGATCCTCTGACCTCTCCCCAACTGACCATGGGACCGGATGTTCTTATGCTCAAACAATTGATGGCAGACACGCAACTCGAAGATGCTTATAGGGTGCTGCATCTTGTCACCCAAGGGCGACCGCGGTACGGCAAACTCAAGGATAGACCTCACCCTGGTCTAAAAAGACCTGCTAGGGCTGGTTACAACGACAAAAATCACAACAATCAGCCCCTACAGAGCCTTTGATCATAGAATTCCAGACCCATATTCAGAGGGGACCAGGATACTACAAATTTAACACATCCCTCCTCCCCCTCACGAGATTTAAAGAAATGGTGAACACATTCTGGATCTATTGGCAAACCCAAAAGCCGGAATCAGGGGACAGGGTGTCTTGGTGCAACGAAGGTATTGCACACCTGAGAGAGAGGGTCAAAAAGTTCTCTATCCAATATGCAAGAGACCGCAAAGCCATTCTCGATAGCCACATGCGTGAACTTGGAGAATGGGATGAACATTTTATGGACGATCAGCAACACCCACCCTCGTATGAGAAGCTCCAAGAAGCACGAGATTACCTCCATGCCTACATCGAACAACAGGTGCAGGACTGGAGGGTGCAGGCAAAAATCAAGCGGGCACACACAGAAGGAACAATGGCGAAATCCTTCTTCAATAAAGCAATGGCCAAATTGAGGGCAAAAACAGTCCCCAGGCTCAGGCACCTGCTTGATGATTCGGCCCAGACTGCAACCAACGCCTATACCATAGCAGATTATGCGACCCAATACTACCGCAATCTTTTCACATCCCAGGCACCCAACAAGGCCCCCCACGAGGTCCTCAGTGCAAGGGAGAGGTTACTGGAGGTTGTTCACTCACGCCTGACAACTGAACAAAAATGTGAGTTAGATACGCCCCTCTCCTCCCAAGACGTCTGGGAGGCCCTTCCGGGTATGGAAGATGAAAAGACCCATGACATTGACTCATTCCCGAAGGAATTCTGGGTGCAGTTTTGGGACCTCCTCCAGGATGACCTTATGGACTACATCAGGGCGGTACAGAAGGAAGGAACATTAAGGGGTATGATTGGGAAGGGCGTCACCACACTCTTGTACCAAAAAGGAGACAAGGGGGATATTAGAAACTACAGGCCCATTACTCTCCTCCCTGTGCCTTACAAAATGGTGGTTAAGGCATTGACCAATACGTTGCTGCCACTCATGAATATTCTGATCCATCCAGACCAGACAGGGTTCATCCCAAACCGCAACATTCAAGAGAACATCCTACTGGTTAATGAGACCATTAAGTATGCTCGTCAATGACAAGCCCAAGTGGCCATCCTGTTTATTGACTTTGAGAAAGCATACGACCATGTAGACTGAGACTTCCTGGACATATGTCTGGTCAGGATGAACTTTTACCCAAAATTCTGACATTGGGTGGTCCTTTACTATAGATCGGCTACCACCAATATCATGCTTAATGGGCACCTGTCACCGCCAATACACCTACAGAGATCGGTGCGCCAAGGGAACCCCATAGCTTCGCTCATGTTTGTAATAGTAGTGGAAGCTTTGACCTCGTTGATCAGATATACCCGGATACGTTTGTCTGTATGTGTCTATGAGTTCTTTTTGCGTCATGAATTGCCGCAGTAGCCATGCATCTGCCTTCCTTTCCTCCCTGGTTGGCGAGTCCAGCCCCGGGTGCAGTACCGTGTTGAAGTCCCCAACGACTACCATATTTTGAGCATCTGGTACAACATGCTGAAGTTCTGAGAAGAATGATTTTCTTATCCCCGGGACTGCTGACGCGTACTTAGACATCAAAACCCACTCTTGTTCCTGTATCCTAAACCTTACCGACACCCATTGCCCCCCATGCCCCCCATATGTCTGTTCTGCTTTCCACGATGGTCAGTTCCACATCTCGGTGGATTAAGATCGTTGTCCCTCCTTTTGTGTCGTTGGCGGGTGCCCATAACTGGGGACCTGGCCAACAGCGCGCCAGCTGCGCGATTTTTGGCTCATCCAGTTTGGTTTCCTGCAAGAGGATAAAGTGTGAACTCTGTATGTGAATCCATGTTTTCAACCGTCCCCGTTTGAACGTCCGAGAAGTATCTCTTAGCCCCCGGATATTCCAGGTTACGATATGTAGTTTGTCTGTCATTACCTGGTGTGTGGGTGGTGGTGGTTTGGATCCGCAAGACTTCATTTTGTCCTCTGCTGTTTCCCTTCTTCTTTCAGTTTTGTTGTTGTCTTTCTACTTCTGTCCCAGCTTCCCATGTTGCCAACAACAAGTTCCTAAACCCCGAGGCCCATGGCTGTTTATCTGCTGACAATGTTGAACAGAATTTGGACACGAAGCCTGCGTTGATTTGGTTCATAATCCACAGGTTTTCAGCCTCTTTTGAGGTATTGGAGGTCCAACCATGTTGGGGGGACCCACAGGATCCCTTGGTTCGCCAGGGCTGTGACAATCTCAGCCGTAATTTTTACGTCCACCAAGGCTATGTGAAAGCACAGTTGTGGTCTGTTGGACTGAGTAAAGGATCTCCTACCAGTTCTGATACCCGGTATCAGTCTAAGGAGAAATCGATTTGCTGCAAATACTTGAGTCGCAGCTCGAATTGCCTCTTTAGTAGTGGGTGTTGTACTCACCGGTACTGTGGGAAAAACACAGTTATCGGACTCTGTTTTGAGTGCCAGTACTTCCACTCCTTGCGGAGCTAACGAAATGCATAACAGGAGGAGAAAGTGTACCACGTCTCTTGGGTCTGTTGCCCCTGTGGTGTTGGCTGTCCTAGATGGTCCCGCCCCCTTATTCCTTACCTCCCTAGTCTGTGTACGCTCTCCTGTGGTGGCAGCTTGTGCATTCGGGGGTTGAATACTGTAAGACTCCACCTCCCTCTCTTTCACCTCCTTTGTTGTTTCATTCAGACCTTCCTCCCCTACCCTTCTCATTTTGACAGGTGCCTGAAGTGAGAGCCGGTTTCCTGGGTCTCATGATGTGATCGATGTGTGG